CATTCTTTCCAAAATACTCTCCTCCCAGGTTTTATCCCCTTCCTGGATTTGCTTCTCCGCCCAGCACTCACCATGGTGGGAAATGATACCATTTGTTTATTTGATCAGTGTCTGCCTGCCTCCCAGGAACAGAAGCTACTTCAATGTGGATCTCTGTGGGTCTCGTCTATCAGTGCATCCTCAGATCCCAAAACAGGGCCAGTCATTTAGTGGCACTCAACACATGCATGGCAAAGAAAGACAGGGAAGCAGGGAGGCTGAGAGGGAGGGAGCAAGGCTTCCTCTAGAAAGGTGGAGCCCAGAGCAGCTCGGTGAGAATGTGTGTGTTCCTGTGTGTATCTGTGCATGGGAGCATGTGCTTACATGCCCATGCATATGTGCATGTGTGTGAACATGTGTGTCCATGCATGTGTGCATGCCATGCATGTGAGCTTGTGTATGAATATGTATGTGTGCATGCATGTGTGTGTCTATGCACACATGTGTAAGCATCAAGGAGACTTGCATTTGAAAGGAGACCCTTAGTATAATATTTATGATAAAATTTTCAAAATTGAGTTTTAGTGATGTGCAAAACAGAGGACTAAGACTCAAGCCCCAGGGCCTGGGCCCAGTCCTCAGGCAGTGAGGGAGACGCAGGTAAGTGAAGCTGGGTGTGGGGGTTATTTGGTTCTGTAGATTGGATTGCTGGTATCCTGTTTTGATTTAAGAGACAACATGAGAGCCACGCAGACTTCAGAGAGGGAAAACAGCAGGTCAAAATGGCAACTGAGAATAAGGTGGCCAGCCTTGGTCAGAATAGTGCTGACTACAGACGTTAGCTCTTTCTTCAGGTAAGGGCTCCTCCAGGTAAGGGCTCCGGGCTTCTCTCCATGCCTGGGGCCTTGCCTCTTACTCTCTACCCTTACACCCTTAGGATAGAGTGATGCAAGATGAATGGATCGTAAAAATATCCAGTAACTGCTTCGAATTACTGGTAATAGTGAATTTACGGGTTGGCACCAGGCAGTGGCCCTTTCCCACTGAAAAACCTCGAATGCAGTCAACAGGAAGGCACTGAAACTCAAAACTTTGAGTCTGGGGCCCAGAGAGCATGAGCACAGAGATCCAAAGAGGTTGACCCTTTCCCTACCACTAGTAGGCCAGACTCTGTTAGGGTGCATGTCCGAAGCTTGAAATAGAATTAAGTAGCTTCATGCAATGGCTTCTCTTGGTGACATAGGATAAACATCATAAATAAAGCAGCAGCAGTAATCCAAGAATGTTTGAAACTGACTTGAAATACTACCTGAAACCAAGAATGGGTACTGTAATCAAAGAACTGGAAACCACCTTGACCCAGAGGAAAAAAGGATGTTACACTTTGTAGCCAGTTCTCAGAGAAATGGAGAGTTTGCTTTGCTTTCTGTTTCAGGAGATGGGACTAGTCATCCCTTCCTGAAGGAGTCAATAATTTGCTGCATTTTTAGGACTTGTACAAGCAAATTCAAAATTCAGGTGTCATTAAAATTATAGCTAGATTCTGCTGCCCGCTTTGTGAATAGCCACCCTCATTTCATGGGAGAGCACCCCATTATCTGTTGAAGAGATGTCTTTTTTTATTTGCTAAGGGCAAGAACAGAAAATAAGACACTTTGATTAAAGGTGCTGCAAGATGGAGTAGACTTAAATGTCCTTTTATACTCAACTATAGTTTCTAGTTATTGAAATTTTTAACCAATTGGTGTTATTGTTACAACCATGATATATACATTCATAAAATAACATTTATGAAGCACTTCCTATGTGCCAGACACAGGGCCAGGTATGTGTATATTTTATACATACACACACACAGGAGATTTTATATATATAATTTCTTGAATGATAACTACTTGCCTATCAGGTATCTGCTAGACCCTGAGAAGGAAGTAGGAAGATAACTAACACGTTTCCCACTTTTCTGAAGCCACAATCTGGCCACATCCATGTAACTTGATCCCAATTTCCAGAGAACTTAAAAGGTTGGGAATGTAACTATTTGTACTGAAGACTGAAAAAATAAAAAGGGAAAGAGAAAAAAAGGAGCATCCAAGAAGGAAAAGGTCTAATGGTGAGAAGAAAGATATCCAGAGATTAGAAGACTATGAACGGAAACAGACAATGACTGATATCATCTAGCGTGCACCATGGCACGTGGATACCAATGTAACAAACCTGAATGTGCTGCACATGTAACCCAGAACTGAAAGTATAATAAAATAAAAAGAAATTCCAAGATTAATAAAAAGAAGGTACATAGGAAAAGGATGTGATTTAAGAGCACAACTCAAGGAGCTGCTAATTGTGCCACAGCCTCTAGATAGCAGAATAGTAAATTGCAACCTTGTGTTTTATGCCCAATGTTGAATGTAGTTGAATTATTAAGGAGCAATGGAAAGGCTTCCAAAGGCTGAAACACTTTCTAAAGCATATCAGATGTTCAATAATAACACAGACACCTAGGGTAGACAAAACAAAGTTTGTAGACATTCGAACTTGCATTGATTTAAAAGACTATTCAAACCTATATTTATATAAGCATTTTACTCTGAATACTATATTAAAACAATAGTAACTGATCTTCCACTGCTCTAATGGGTTCAGGCAACAATGTCATGAGCAAAGTTCAAACTTTGAAAAAAAATCCAACAATATGATCAGCATGCCATCAAAAAGAAGCTTCAACCCTGTCATTATGTAAAAGTCTGCACTAATAGGGCAGTCATTTAACCTAGAAGCTCATTCTGTGCCTTAAATCACACACAAAGGGAAAATGGCAGCATGTCATCTCAAATGGAAGTGTAAAGTACTTAACTGGGTGACACACAATTGAGGTGGGTGCCTGCTAGGGCTTCAGTGGTGGTGGAGGGGGAATAAAAGCAAGAAGAAAGAGGAGGCCAGCAGTACAACTGGAGTCACTGTGGGGATTTGAACAACCACAGCCACGAGACAGCACCTGAAACAATGGCTAATATGGCCGAGTGCCTCCTCTGCTGACGTCTTCACCTTTATGGTGAAGCATTATGGTACATGCATCTAACAGAAGCCCAAGACATAGTCATCAATGCCATTCCCATTTTAGAGATGCAGGAACTGAAGCTGACAACATGTATGCAACATGCCCACAGGCTCATGGTCTTCTCTTGGGTCCTCCTCACCTTCAGGCTAAATAGCTGCAGAGAGCTGTGGCGTTTATACAGCATTTTTCTCCATTTGCCTTGCAAATAAATGCCAACACCAAAAAAAAAAAAATAGTTAAAATAAAAACACCCACAAATAACAGCTCTTCTTTTCCCCTGAGGAGGTAGACAGAAGGAAAACAAATGAAGCCATCATTCTTTATTGAATGCTGGCATGAATCTTGAGTTGGTCTGGAAGATTATTTGCTGGATAGACAATTCTAATTTTATATATTTTTATGCATTTATAAAGCTCATTTCAGCTAGGCCTTATGCCATAAAACCCAAGGGAATTGCAGTAATTCAAAAGTGAAGATACATTTTTGAAATGGAACCAGAACAGTGGAGCAGAAAATGGGTAAAACGAGAAACAAAACTGGATTCAATAAGATTGGATAGGTCAGTTTGTGAAGGAAAGTCTACAGGCAGCTATTTCAGGGTGAAAAAGAAAAAGTGATTCTTCAGAAGAGAACTACAATTGGCTGCCATAGACTGGATTCCATCTGAAGATGTGTTTTATTTGCCCTGTATGACGGTTTACAAATATCCAAGCCAACACTAAAAACTGTGAATTTCCATATAAAACCACGATGTCTGGCTTCTCATACAACACAAGCCATACTAAGGCCCCCATTTCCACTTGAGATCAGTTTTCAGGGGCTTGCTAGAGTCTTTTCCTTTAGACAGTAGTGAACTCTGAAATGGCCCATGTTCTTTTTTTTTTTTTGAGTTGGAGTTTCGCTCTTGTTACCCAGGCTGGTAACAAGAGTTACAATGGAGTGCAATGGCGCAATCTTGGCTCACTGCAACCTCCGCCTCCTGGGTTCAGGCAATTCTCCTGCCTCAGCCTCCTGAGTAGCTGGGATTACAGGCACATGCCACCATGCCTGGCTAATTTTTTGTATTTTTAGTAGACACGGGGTTTCACCATGTTGACCAGGATGGTCTCGATCTCTTGACCTTGTGATCCTCCTGCTTCGGCCTCCCAAAGTGCTGGGATTACAGGCGTGAGCCACTGCGTCCGGCCCTTGTTCTTTTTGACCCTGTTCTCTAACCTCTGCATCTTTATCTGCCAGGCCCTGCAGACCTCAGAATCTGCAGCTCTTTCACAACCGAGACAATTCCCAGGTGTTCAACTTAAAGAGCAAACTACTGGCTGACCTAATGTTAGCCAGTTACCATCACCTTGTGTAATTCAGTGAGGCCAAGGCCCAAACACTGGCTACGGTAAGACCTCTCTCTTTTCAGAACCCTCAGTGTGGCAGTTTTAGAATACAGCCATCACATTTTTGACAGTTTTCTCATCAAGCAGTGGGGGCCTCTTTCTCTGGAATCTGGGCTTCTTGGGTTCTGTGACTGCTTGCATAACAGAATATGGCAGAAATGATGCTGTGTCAGTTTTCAGGGCCAACCTAAGGAAACTGGCTATTTCCACAGACTGTGTCTTGGGCCATTTGCTGCTAGAACCTAGCCACCATGCTGTGAGGAAGCTAAAGTGCTTTGTGGACAGCCCTACATGGGGAGCACACAGACAGGTCAGTGAGCCACTTTGGAAGTGGATCCCCAGCCCTAGGAGAGCCTCTGCAGCATGCTACCCTCACTAGGCCCCGCCCACATTTCAGATTCAGCAACGAAATAAGTGACTGCTGTAGTTTTAACCCAATGAACTTTGTGTTATGCAGCCATCAGTAAACAGAGCACCCATTCCATCTGAACACTAAGAAGGGCTTTCACAGCAGATGAGGGAGAACCAGGAAGATGCACTTCCCTACGTGACGGCCCCCACATGGCCTTGCTCACCTGGCCGATGTGCCTTTGGAACTGCCATATTCATCACTCGTCCTCCATCCTGAGGTTTGGGGGGAGATGCAGTGAACCTGCAGATTCCCGATTCGGAAGGGGTGCTGGAGGTCAGACTGTCCGTGTACTCATTTGTCCCTGCCGTCAACTGTTCGGATGACGTGTCTGATATGAAGCACTCTGTGATGGTGAACTTGGCGTGCCTCAGTTGCTCTTCCATCTTGGCATGTTCGTAGGCCCTGGCCAGTTCTTCGTAAGTGGAGGAGGCACTTTCTGTGGAGACCATGCTGCTTCTTGCTCGATCTACACCATGAAAGAGAAAAACAAGATGGGTGACTCACCATCAGGAGTCTGCACCAATGGCATGGCCCTTCCTGACTTGGCGCTGATCACAGTGGGACTTGGCAGAAGGTCTGGCTCCTTGTCAGAGGATCCTGCCTTAGGCACTCTGAGGCCAGCTTCACAAGCCTCAGCAGATCCGGCTCAGGGAAGCTTTGTTGCAAGCGAATTGCTGTAGTCAGATGTCCCAGCCTGGGACATTTCCATAAATAAGTAATGCATTCCCTTTGAAAATCCTGCTTTTAGTGAAAACAGTAGGAGTGGCAGCACCCCCATCTCTGCTCCAACCTGCAAATGGATCTGTGCCCTAGAGACTCTTTAACTGACATGAATGATTTGAGCTGCAGCTCAGCTTCTGGGGCCTCCGCTCAGGAAGAAAGATGTGATGATATTAGAAATGAAGATGTGATGTTACACGGAAATTGGCCACTAGCCAGAATGGTCCCCAACCCCTGGGACACATCTTCTGTATTTATCACCCTCTATGGGAACTAGAAAACCATCGGGACAAAAACTGGTGCCCACGTGCCTTCGAGCTGGGCCACGTCAGGTTAGTCAGTGAGATCTCTGCCTTTCAAATGCACTAAAAAGTTTTGAGGTCACCTCTGTGGAACTCTGAGACTCTTCTAAGATAAACCACAGTTATAGAAATAAATTCACATTGCGACGATCCACCTCCGGAACACTGTTTTTGAAGTAGATCATTAAGAACAAAAGAAAAATGAGTATTAAAATTTCCTACAGCTATTAGATTCAGATGTAATTTCTTTTCAAAATTTAAGGGGGAGTGGTGGGCAACCCAGTGCTATTCTTAGGCCCTGTCTTCTCTCTGAAGTGAAAACTTGGTGGTTGATGGCATAGACTGGATGACTTACCTTATAATCAACTCCTGTTTAATTGTCTAACGGATCAGCCTAGGTTCCCTATAGAGGGTGCTATGGCCTCATCATGTAACTTCAAGTGCAGTGTCTTAATCCTGGAGATGGTAGTGGGTCAGACGCCCTCAGAGTGTAATCAGCAATTATTGCAATCACGGGGGTGAAAATCTAAAAAGGTCTCTATTTCTCCCAGTAGGGTAGGAACTAAAAGGAGAGAGAAGCATGAGTCTGAGATTCAGGACACATGCAGAATAGATACAGTGTGGCTCTGTTTCACTTTATGTGAAGCAAAGGCTGTGCAGTTGTATAGGTAACTGTTAGATAAACAGCTTAACACACAAATAGGAGGGAGAAAGCCCTCTCTCCCCTTTCCAAGGAGCTCATGAAGCTCAAGGTACATGGGCCATGCTCGTCCCCAGGGACGGAGGAGGCAGCGTCAGGGCCTACCTGTATCTTGCGATGGGCTCACACTGTAACTGTCACTCTCTTTGTCTACCGATCCTGCAGCCCTGGGTGTTGGCAGCCTCCAGTCTGTGGTGAGGGTGTGTGCTGAGATGGTGGGGTGGGGTCGGTTGAGGGTCCACTGGCTGGCGTAGCGGTTTCTCGATGTGGGCCCAGCCTTGGCATTCCTCCTGGTGGTGGGATCTGTGAAGAGCCAAGAATTGTGTTTGTCTTTGTCTGCAGAGGAGTGTGGCCAGCTGAGAGCAAGAGCAGAGGGCAGTGCCACCCACCCACCCCTGCTCTCACCCATGCCCTCCAGAAAAACTTCATTGACTTCTCCTGTGCAGAGGATTCTTCCCCTTTCCTTTATGGCTTGAAACATTCATCTGATACTTACACAATTAATTAGCCCTGCAGGGAAAGGAACACCCTACTTGGATTCAGAAGTTACATATTTGAGTCTCACTCTTGGCTTTTATGTTATGACCTGATGCACATCATTTATGACCTGAGCGTCATCATCTGTAAAACAAGGAAGCTCAGCCCCACATGTTCGAACGTGACCTCCTTTCCACAGTTCTTCTCCTTTAGGTGTTGTTATGAGTCAATCACATCCCCTCAAAAGATATGTTCACGTCCCAACCCCCAGGAGCTCAGAATGTGGGATCTGATTTGGAAATAGGATCATTAGAGATGAAATTAGCTAAGACGAGGTCATATTGGAATAGGGAAGACCCTTAATGTACTATGAGTGGTGTCCTTATTAGAAAAGGAACAGACACAGTAGGGGAGAGGGCCATGGGGTGATGGCGGCAGAGACTGGAGTGCTACAGCCATAAGGAAATGCGTTTCTGTGTTGCGAAGCTACCCAGTTGGTGGTACAACAGCTCTAGGAAATTAATACAGATGTTGCCTATCATTTTGTTTCTCATATTACTTGTTGTTTTAATTATGACTGTTTTATTCATTGAATTGAAAGCTCCCAGTGCAGAGGGACCAAACTTTTATGTCCCAACTCTCAGTAAGCCCTTTGCATATGATAGCACATCTCTTCAGTAGGATTGTCCCGACTTGAACAAAGACATCTTGGGTTGTTTCATATGGAGAGCAAAGGGTTAAGCTGGTGCCAGATGGGTTTCATTTTTTCCAAATCTGGAACCAAAGCCAGCAGGTCGATGGGTGGATGCAGTTCTTAGCTCAACCCTTTGGTGAGCCAAGAGAAAGGACATTCTACCAGCAGAGACTGTCAGGTACCAGAATGGGCTATAACGTTGCCTTTTCTGGAATTCTGCAGAAAATGAGAGAAATTCAGTTATGGAATGATTTTTCCGGGGCTCTAGCTTAGAGGCAGCTAGGTCCTAGATGGGTCTTTTCTAGCTTTGAATGCTCTGCTTCTCAGAGGAGTTTGATATAGTTATATTTCAGTATGGTCTGGTCACTTCTAAACCCAGCAGACCATATTCGCTGCTGGGCTCTCATGAAGTTTCAAAGGAGGAAAACTGACAGGGCCAGCCAATAATGTTATTGCACTGATTTATTTATGTGCTTTTATGGGTCTGGCAGTGTCTCCAGGATAGGGGCTATGGTATCCCTCCTTGGATCCATCCATAGAGCCTACAATAATCCCTGACATACAGAGTTTTCTGAAGGAATTCATACACCTTGTATCACTTTATGAAGGCCATGGAAGCTCAGAGAGAAACAATGAAGCTGTTAAATGATAAACATATAACCCAAAGCTTCTGCCTTTTCAGTTCAGCTAGTGCCTGTTACTTGACCACATATGGCCAAATCCTGGGTGTCTAAGTTTCCCAGTACAGTGTCTGCAGGACCCTGGCTTGCATATAATTCCATGTTGGAATGTGAAAGGCTAACACTGGGAAGGTGAAGTGACTAAATGGAAGATTGCCTCATTGCAAGCGTCTAGTTAATTGTACTTTGAACCTCCTCTATCTTCCTATGTTGCTGGAGAGGTGCGTTAAGGTGGCAGCCAAAGTGAGATTTTAAGATTTCCTAAATCATCAAAATACTCAGTCTTGGTGAATATTCTCTGGGGCACTCATTTTAAGACACGTTTCATCCCTTACTTGTGCAATTCCATGGGAGACTTCATTAGAAGATTTTCTTGGCCTTGCTGAGAATGTCAATGTGTTATGCTGGAGCTCTACACAACCAGGTATGAATGATAATGGGTTTTTTTCACCGAAATGCTAGGAAAGAGGTCCTCAAAAAGACAGAAAAACATTATGCTGGGTAAGATGCTAAATGTCTTCCAGGAACTATCGACTTGGTAAGTGGAGCTTCTTATTCAAATGCTAATGAGTCTTTTCCAGAAAATTACCCAGTCCCTTATGTAAGTTTTGAAAATTCTCATTTTTATTCTTAAGTTTCTTGAAACTATAGCTGTTGCAGCTCATCCCAAGCAGGTTTTACTCCTGGCGTGGAAGCGGGGGCTGTCTGGGGGGCAGAGTTTGCTAGTCCCACTTCAGGGATATAATTATTTCCTCCAATCCACCAAACCTTGGCCCCCGTTTCTTCCCCGTGACCTCACTCTCCAGTGGTGGGGCAAAGATCTTCGCTGTCATAGCTCCTTTCCTCATCAAGATCACCCTATTTGGAAAATTCCATGGGAAAGTCGCACAAGTCAGCTTTGATTCAAAGCCAGGACTCCTTTCAAGTTAATTTTGTTCATAATCTCTTTTTTTCAGAGGAGGACAGTTTTACTGGTGGCCTGATAATGCTGAAAATATAGGTCATGATATTAGTTTCCTTAAACCACAGCCCACAGTCCTGTTCCACACTAGGCAGGCATCCTAGGTTCAAATGGTCTCAATATGTAGAATCCTGGAGTTTTTGACACATTTGCTTTTTAATAATTGGGTTTTTGGAGCCATTGTTTTGTACCTGAACTGCCTCTGCTGTGTGATAATGCCCAGGATAGCAGCTGAAATACAATCTTTACTTGGATTCCACAGGCAGCCTTTTTTATGTAATGTACAAACTCATCTACTAAGCAAATAAATGCTGGGGTTTACTGCCCCTTCATGGAAAGTATTTTGTTAGGTTCCCAGCGTTCTAATATAAATAAAACTCGGTGATTAAGCAACATGCCTGCTCAGCAGCCCATGAGTTAGAGAGCACAGGATATAAATAGCTCATGGCCTTTCAACATGGGGTCTGAACCCCAGTTATGCCCAGTGAATCAGATTTATTTTAATTATCCTGAATTTGGGATAAGAGAGGATTTTCTGGATAATAGGGTTAAGAGCATGTCCTGTGTGCTGCAGTCATGGTATTAATCTGCTTTTGTCTGTGCCATTGCTTTCCATATCTTGTAGTTGCAGACGTCCAGCTTTACAGGAGGAATTTACTGGCTGTCGCATAGAGAGAATGAAACTGGCAGATCTGAACACTCCCTCATGTAACTAACAAGTGTTTATCAAGCACTTTTTATACCCTGGACTACTGGACATACCTCACCCATCCCAGGTATTTCCCTCAGGGCCATCGCTAGTCCCATCCTGGGTGACAGAGGGAATTTTTTTCAGTCTCAACAATAAAGATTCGAGTCCATGTTGTAAGCTCTTGTTATTGAATGTGCATGTGTGTGAAGTCTATTACATATCCTATATGTAGCATCTCTACCGAAAGGCAATGTAGAATGACTGAGAGTGAGAGCTTTGGAATTAGGTTACATGGGCTGGAAGTTCATATTCGCTACTGCCTGGCTGCATCACTGGCCAAGTGACCATGTCAGACCTGCCTAATCCCCTAGTTTCTGGACGAGGTGACATCATCACCCACTTTAATGCTGTCCTGAAGTCTGAATGAGATTAATATGCCCAACTGCTCTGAGCACATGGGGCAGGCTCAGCTGGCCCTACCCATGATTCCTGTGCAGCAAACATGATGCAATGTCTTTTCTTTTCCATTCCCATTGCTCTGATCTCAGAATTTGATGGCTGGTTGGTATTTATCCACTACATGCCTATGTCAGACACTGTGGCTAGTACGGGGATGAAGACATGAACAGAGTCCTAGTTTTCAGTGTATTATAATCCACGGGAGAGACAGAGAAAAGTACTCAGTGCAGCAGAATCAGCCAAGGGATGTGTTTCCATGAACTGACAGAGATAAACAGCAAATTGTTATGATTTCACCATCCTCATAAGAGTCTATTGCAACCCTCTGGCAAACTAATAAAACACTTAGGAACATAACTTCTACAATACAGTCATTCTGTATGCAAGCAACACATTTCAGATGCTCTTCTTAAAAATAAAGAATTCCTGCAATGACAACACAGACCTGACATATAAAATAGAATCATGGTGTCTTCTGTAGCCGAGAAAATAGAGAATACAAATGAATCTCTGCAAAAATGCCAAACTATAGGAGGAAGAACCTGCTCCATGGGATTTACAGAGGTATAGCACCTGGGCAGAGGTGAGACACTCTGGTGCAAGAAGCTAGCAGGAGACTGTGCTTCAGAAAGTTCATGAGCTTCAGACTCTTGAACCCACTGAGGGGCCAGTCATCCATCATTTCTAATTCTAAATAAAAAATAGAGGGCTGTCAGTCCCTCGCACTGTGGTTTTGAGGAACACTGAATGAAAAGATGATCCAGAAGGTATTTTACTAATACAGATATGCAAGTGCTGAATGAATATGCTCATTTTGGAGAGAGATCGGGAACCAGGGACCGATGTATGCATTTGAGTAGATGTACTTGATGTTGGTAGACATCATTTAGTGAAATTCATCACAAAGGAAAGAAACATTGCTCTATAAGCTGCAGTGTTTCCCTGTGATCATCAGGCTAAGCCCCTGGGACAGCATCTCTGCACTTTCAGAATGAAATGCACCTGCAAGGTGCTTGCTTAGGGGACCCTGCAAGGGGAGGACTGCTGCTTCTCTGTCTCACCTTTTCCCTGCCTTTCACTGTGCTCCAGTGTCACTTCCACCCCATCACGCGGGGAATCTTGGGAGCTTTTCCCTTCATCCCCGTCTGCTCCTGCTGTGGCTCTGATCTTGGTTCATGTCTTCTCCTCACTGGAGGTCTTCCCAAATGACTTGGACCCAAGACAGCCCCTCCCACTGCTCCACATGCCCACTGACTCACCATGGCTTTGTTCTCTTTCTGTCAAGTACTTACTGAGAAATGAAAAATCCTTTAGTTCCACGTTCAATGTCTGCCCCCTGACTACAATGAAATGAATGTCTTTCTGCATCTTACTCATGGTGTATCTCCATCACAGAGCACTGAGCCATATATGTAAAGTGAAACCTTAATAAATGTATTCGAGGGCTGAATGAATGCATTAACGTTCCCAGCCCTGCTTCCAACTGTATAGCCATGAGATAAACACACATCCCTCACACGTGTGTCCTGCCTGCCACTCACTGACCACTAGTTTACAGTATCTGCTGTGACTCACATTCACGTCTCTTTGCTATTTGACATGCCATCAGATCAACTTCCCCGTTATTCTGGGGCTGGCCATGCAGCTGGAAGTTGCCAGTGCTTTTGTTTTGGGCTGCTGCTTCTCCTGTCTTAACTATTTATGACTAGCTTTTGTGCATTCTCGGCTGCTAGCTGACCGCTGAAGGGGAAGGAGAAATGCATGTTGCTTTTTACCTGGCAGGAAGAACTGATGTGCTGGAGGGGTCCTGCGCTGCTGCATTACATACAGGACACATTTCTAACCCTTGGGGCAGTGTTTCTTAATGTGGGGTCCAAATAGCCAGCATTAGAATCACCCAGGGTGTTTGTTACCATGCAGCATTCTAGGCCAGAATCTCTGGGTGGAACCCTGGAATTGATATCTTTAAATAGGCACCAGGTGATTCAGATGCATGGAAAATGTGGAGAATGCGACCCAGGGCACCTGCTCTGTTGTCTCTTTTCCCTGCTCTTTTGCTACTCTTTCCAACAGAGTGCTGAAGCCAAGGCTGCATTGCTCTAAAAATCTACTCCTTTCAATGTCTATAACCTTTTTCTAATTTAGCAGCAAAAAATGGCTGAGAAACCCATTGGAGTAGTGTCTTGAAGTAGCAGGAAGCCACACCAGGCAGTTCTTGGCGGAGAAACCAAAGCCCCTGAATCATTTTTTAAGAGCAAGGCTCTGGCACACACCCTTTGGCAAAGCTTATTCACACTCGCATCCCATTCAGAAGGTACTAATGTCTTCATCAAAGAAGAAAGAGGGGAAGAAGATTAGACAAAAGGAAGAGGTAAAAGACTTTTTTAGAATGCCCTTGAAAACATTTTTGTAAAGGAATGTCAGTGCCTGCTGAAGCCATTTTCTGTATATTACAAGGTTATTTCGTAGGCAACAGGTTTACTTCATAAAGTTCACTGCATTTTGCAAATGCTTCTCAAGCTGGGATTTATGAAGAATAGCTTTTAACACTATAATATTTATTTTTCTAATGATAACACAGTACTGTAAGCATGTACATTTTTGCAAAGAAATTGATTAGAGATTTGAAACCTAGACATCAAAGCTTCCAAAATGATAATAATCAGGACATCAATTTCTCAGTCTTTAAAGAGATTTAGGAATGATTCCAATTATGAAGAAATAAGGGTATCTAATTAATAAGCTCTAGATTCATATTGGGGGATTCACCATCATTGCAGCAAATAATTTCCATATATTATGGATGCAAATATTAATTACAAAATCCAACATAATCTTCACATTAACTATAATTTTCCTCAGTATTTGGGGGAAAAGCACAAGCTTTGAAAACAGACAGGTCTATTGCTGAACCTTGGCTTTACTACTTATGTGTGCACCTTTATGCTGTTTGCATAATTCATCCGAGGCTTCAGTTTTCTGAGCTGCAGAATAGAGGCTACGATACCCGCTTCACCGTAGGTGTTTTATAGGACTGTTGCAAAGACAAAGCTCATGACATCATCTTTCTATCCCAATACTGGTATACAGCAGATACACACCAATGTGGATTACCTTACCTCCTCCTGTGCTGCCCAGATTAACAAATACATGTACCTAAAATTTCTAGCATTTTTTTTAATCATAAACCAATATTAACAGTAATTGGCTTCAACTGACATCATAATAGCCAAGATTCATCAATAACAACGCATTATCCCAAATTAAAGATGTCATTATACCTATTTGTTTCTCAGGCCTAGGTCTGAAAGCCCCCATCCCCCATTTTCATTTGAGAGAGAAAGAGTGTGACTATGTTTTCAGCATTGTTAACACCCACACATTTTAAGTGTTGTTGACCACTCACTCGTTCCCGGCCGAGCGTCTGAAACATCCACTAAGGGCCCAGTGGCCTGAGACACCGATTGGTAATGGACCGTGTGAGTGACCGTCAGGGACTTCTGCTTAGCTGCCTCTCCAAAGTCAGCATCCGTCAACAGAACCGTGGAGCGATCATCTACAGGATGGCAGGAACACAGAAAGCCAAACACATTTATCTCCCTTCCAACCACGCCCTGGCCTTTTCCCTCCCAAGGCACTTGTGTTATTGTTACTGACGACCACAGTAATAGCCTCATCTAAAGTGACAAAAATGATTGCAGATTCAAACATCGAATTAGCATTATTCTAGAGTGCTAGGAATAGAAGCTTCTTCCTGGGGGTTGGCTTTGGGAGCAATGAGCTACAAAGAACGGTGACTATGCAGAGAAGGAGCTCTCTTTTCTCTTTGGGCTTGGATTTTCATTAAGCTAACATTGATCTGAGCTCTGGATTTATGTGTTTGTCAAAAGTTCCTTTGAGATGTCATCTGCAATGCCAGCCCCCTCACCAGTGATGAGACTGTCAATGAAGATGGGTCCCTTTGGTCGCTGGGAAGCTCTGTTTGCAGGACTAGAAAATCGCCATTGCAGTTCTCTGCTGAGGTTTGCTCTTATTCTGAACTTGGCAAATGTTTGGAGGGGAAATAAAAGAGAAGAAAACATGCCAGTCTTCAGAGCTTATTGATTCCTCTATTTTAAAGGACTCAAGGTGTGTTCCTTTTGTTTCCACCCCCTGTAAGCTTTAATCACTCTGGAACATCCATTAATTGACTTCTCCTGAATGATTCACTGGTCAGAATTTCCAAGTCCTACTAACAGACACTTGAAGGTGAGTGAGGCAGGAGCCTGGGTTTGGATGGGTCCTGGGCATCTCAGTGCTTGCAGCTCTTTGAGCCGGGTCATTATTTGGTGGTCCAGGATTCTCGCTACTACCTTGTGATACTTTCCATGCTTTTTAAAGAGCATTTTTACTCCAAGGGAGACTTTGGCTAGGATATATGATTTTTCATAAATGTTCAAAGGCTGCAGCCCATGATGCTGTTGCTAGGAGTTTATCAGTCAGCAGGGACCACACTGCAGCCTGCCCTGATACTGCAACGGGGACGCGAAAGTTGTAAACAACACCGCTCGACTTCTGTGCCCAAAAAAGGCTCTGAACAGAATGAACCTTACCAAATCCAATTACTCAGGCTCTGGCAGGAAAGGAAAGCCTCTTGAAGTTAGAATAAAATTTCTTGGCAGAGAAATAGAGGAAAGGCTGCCAAGATGCCTGTGAGTATCCCAGCGCGTGGTGAGGTGAGGTTGGCACCACAGCAGGTGCCAGGGCTTGGCTTGGAGGTCCGGCCCCGTGGTGATCACTTGACTCCTCAAAGAGGTTGGCTCTTCTACAGAGACAGTTTCCTACATCTGGACCCGGCACCAGAGGCTCCGTGTCTACATTTTTTTTCATTAATGTCGGGATGTGTTGCAATTTCTAGCACGCAGGACCTTTTAGAGTAGAGCAGATGACCTGTGGGGCTAGGTTTCACACTTTTCATGGAACATTTGGGGTGCCTGTCTGATCATGAGGTTAACCCTTCATTCTAGATAGAAATGAGTGTCACTGTAATATTGGATTCTTGTCAGAGCCCAGGGCATTTTGAAATACCACCGTTCTACTTCCCCAGTAATTAGAAAATGCCATCGACCAATTGTCAGGCATGACAAGGAGGTCAAGGGCTCTTGCTGATAGATAATCCTGCGTGGACTGGGATGGATCTCTGGCTAAGAGTCATTATTACACGTGGAAGTGACTGGCAGGCTTTCTCTGGGGTTAAGCCCCCAGTGACCAGCTCCTGGCAGGCCACAGCCCACTCATGGCATCTGCCTGGCTACCTGTTTTCATAGCCACATGTAGGATTATTAAGTCTCGTGATGCACATTTAGCAAATATTGTGACCATGCTCCACAACCACTATGACCTCCACAAGCTAGGCAACCTCTCTACATCTCAGTTATAAAAGAACCTTGTCCTATGTTGGCTGGGAAGGTTAAATTAAATAATGCGTATAAAGGGCCTATAAAATTACATGGTCGAAGGAATTACATTCTGATTTTTGAAATTTTTTCAAAGGAAATTTTAGCTTTAACGTCTGATCTACTGGTTAAACAAATGAGATTCCAGGGATACCGTGCCTTTTCCCAAAAAAAGGATAATCAAAAGGAAAACACAGTAGCCCATCCCTTATCCTGATATAAGCAAGCTGTTAAAATCTTGTGTACTCTAGGCGACGTAGTGCCTCTTATACACATGGTTTAACTGAAGTGTTTAACTGAAATTAGCTGATCAAGAGACACTTTGGACTTGACCAGTCTTTCTTTAAGTGCTGCTATGCCTGGACCAAATGTGACTCCAGCCAGGAGAGCCCAGGCCTTAGAATTTAGGAACTATTAGGTCAAGATGTCTCCAGTGGCGGGTGGGTCAGCCGAAGGGGGAGGGTTGATGGAGGAGGTGTTCTGCTCACCTGGCCTCTTACCACTGCCTTCCCAGCAGGAGGCAGCTGGGCTGTGTGCTGTGAGTCGGGTAGTTTTATCCAACCACAGGAAAGGGTTGCCCTGGGACCCAGGCCAGCAAACATCTTCCAAAACAAACATAGCCAGGTTTGAAAAGAGGCAGCCTCGGAGCCTGCTCCAGAGGGTTTCCATGGGCACTCAAAACCTTGGGTAACTTCTGGTTGAGGGTTTCTTGGAAGCAGCCTGTTGGAGTGGAAGCAGGTGGCCTGCTGCTGTGCTAGCTGCCTGTCACTGCAGACAGATAGCATAGTGGTGAGGGTGGCCGGCTGCGGAACCTGGTTCTGCTCCTATCTCGGTGACCTTGGAAAGCTACACAGACCTCTCTACATCTCGGTTACAAAAGCAAGACTTCTTTATACGTTGCTTAAATTAAATAATGCATATGAAGTTCTTATGAAAAGTATGTGACATTTACAGAACTCTCAATACGTGTTAGCTATTCTTCTCATTATTATTGGAAAGGAAATAGAAGGCCTTTGACTCTGGAATAAAGAGAGTAATTGAGGCAGGCAGTGTAGGGCACTGGAAAGAAGCTGGAAAGAGTGAAGATACCTGGGTTCTGGGTGGAAAAGACAGAGAACCTGCAGGTGGCTGTTCTGAAACCCTTAAACTAGGGCCCCGGTGTTTCTCAAAGTGCTGCTGGGCAAACAGCTGCAGGATGTTTCTGGGGTGCTGGTGTGGGGGACGATACTTAGTACAAAGACATGTTTGTTGAAGTGTTCAGTATAGTTTAACATTTTCTTTTCTTTTCTTTTTCTTTGAGATGGAGTTTCGCTCTTGTTACCCAGGCTGGAGTGCAATGGCGCGATCTCGGCTCACCGCAACCTCCGCCTCCTGGGTTCAGGCAATTCTCCTGCCTCAGCCTCCCGAGTAGCTGGGATTACAGGCGCGCGCCATCATGCCCAGCTAATTTTTTGTATTTTTAGTAGAGACGGGGTTTCACCATGTTGACCAGGATGGTCTTGATCTCTTGACCTCGTGATTCACCCACCTCAGCCTCCCAAAGTGCTGGGATTACAGGCTTGAGCCACCGCGCCTGACCAACATTTTCTTCAATGAAGGCTTGCCTTATCAGAGTTGATGAGGGGAGAACAGAGTGGATTTTCAACCTGGGGCTCTAGAGTGCAGGCCTCTGGATTGATGTATATTCAATTACAGATGTTTATTCCTTGGAGTGGCATCAGAGGACTCCCCTGGAAAGATCCCAAATGGATCAGAGCTGGGGGACTTCTGTCCCGGAAATGACTGGCATATTGGCACCTAGGGTGGTATGTCAAATTTTCTGCACATTTGCTGGTACTTATTCTTCTTCACAATAGAAATTCTCTGCCTTCTAAATTTTGTACTCATGTAGCATTCAAGACACTCTCCTGTCTAATATTTCCCACACTCTGGGGTTTCGATTGAGAAGGCATGGCTGTGGCAGCCACTTTGTGTAAAGTGGCAAATCGGGCACCTTACCGATGGTCTCCATCGTGTCTCTCTCTTCAATCAAAAGTTGAGCCCTGGGTATGTCAATGTGCATTCGCAGGGTCTGCTGCTGCTTGCTTAAGGTATCTGAAGTCCGGGTGTTCTTACTGGGAATAAAACGTGGGAATGCATTAACGAATCCAGTTCAGTATTAACATTCTACCAACATGCACCTGCATACCAACTTAGTTTATTGTCTAAAGATACAAATGCCTTGTGGGGAGGGGAGCAGGAAAAGTACATGCTACAAAAACATGTCCTTTACTCAAATGCTATTTGTTAATACTAAATTTAATCTGACTGGGGAGTTTCAAAAAATACAAATTGTCAATAGAGATTGGCTCTACATCTATCAGCAGAATCTTTAGAAGGTTCTCATTTCTTGTGTAAACGCTAAATGAAACAAAAAAGAAATTAAAAAACAACAGCATTTTCATTTTTCAGATGTGAGATATTCCAGTGATGGTGAGGAAGAAAGCACCAGATAGTCCAAAGGCGGTGAAGGAAAAGCACGTGCTCCAGCTGTTTGTTGGATGAGGGTTTTACTAATGCGTTTACATTTATATCTGGTGTCATTTTATTTTTGTTCTAGAAGCAAATCACAAGCCTTGTTAGCTTCTCTGACATTAGTTTTCTTAACTGATAGTACATGTCGAATAGAAAAAAAGTAGTTACTACAATAATTTTATCTCAAAATTTGTGTACCAGAAAATTACTCTTAGAGTGAGCTGTTCTCTAAAAGTAAATGAAAATAAGTAGTAAAACTGCTTGGTAGAATTGTATTCCGTTATAGACTGCAGTTAGAAAAATCTCCATGTCGCACAAAAATCTAAACAGGTCAATAAAGGCCTTAATTAGCAATCCACATTAGAAGGGTGGTTGTTCAGTCTTTAGAGAAGAATCACTTTACTAGATGTTCAAATAGCATTTACCGAAGCGTCCTTGAAGCAGCAGAGGTCACTCAGATAATCCAATCAATGGCATAATCTATGGCATTCATCAATCCAGTTCAATCGTTGTTAACACTGGTTTTGAGAAAGATTTTTGGAGCCTAGTTAACTCAATGATGGTGTGCCTCTGTGTTACTTTTAATGGAGACCAAAAGAGGGGTACTCACGTTACATTTTAAATGACTTCCCCTCTATCTGAGCCATTCAGCCCCAGTCCCAGGGCTCTGCCTCCACAGATCCTTCCTTGTCAATGAGGACCCATCCACTGTTGAACCCAGTGGTGGACAGAACCTTAATAATCCCAAAGCAAAGTTCACTCGAGGACCCCCTTAGATGTTTGCCTGATGAGATCCATGTATACGCCTCATTTGAGTAAAAACAAATTCCCACATAAAAAAGACAGCTTCTGAAAGATACAACATTCCTCCTTAGGACTTGATCTTGAACCAGATTTCTTGCTCTGCGGATGAGGAACTGGGTTATGTATCTGCATCATGCTAATTACGCAGAGACCAAATTCAAACGTTTTGTCCTGATTTTTCACATGGTCTCTATGTTCTTTCAAATTACTTACTTAGCTAACTTCTCATGTTTTAATGTTTTTTTTTTTTTTAAAAGAGAGGAACATAAAAATTCAAATAATCTTATAAAATGAAGCGCATCTTGGTTACTTAGGGGGCTGCATTTATGACATGCTTTGATAAGCTATATTTCCACAAAAGCATATGGGCAACTACTCCTCTGTGAATATCCAAAAGATCTGGTTAGAAACCTCAGTAGGGACTTGAGCTTGTCCTTGCACCAAAAATAGAAGTGTGAGCTAGTTCCTTCTGCTCATGATAAATAGTTATGAGGCAGTCAGCGGCTGCTCTATTAAATAGCGATGAACACCGAGTGCAGGCTGTACTTAAACAACAATAAGGGGTCTGCTATCAGACTGACACAGGAAGCAGACTAAATAATGGCTGTGAACCACCGCCACTGGCTGGCACCAAGATTTAGAACGTGATTAAACCCTGCGAACCAGGACAACCAAAGCTGGAAGTATATTCTTCCTCCTCAGAAGACTATAAGAAAATGGCCCAACAAGACTGGAGATTCAGAAACTAATTGTTTTCTTTGGGGCGGGGACAGGGTCTTGCTCTGTCACCCAGGCTGGAGTGCAATGGTGCAATCATGGCTCACTGCAGTTACTTCCTGCTCTAACTTCTGGCCTCAAGACAATCGGCCCCTCAGCCTCCCAAAGTGCTGGAATTACAGGTGTGAGCCACTGCGCCTGACCCGCCTCACGGTTCTTCTTTCTCTTTGCACTTGGCTGTTCCCTTTGTTTAGGACACACTTTCCCTGCTAACCCAAAAATCTGCATGGCTGGCTCCCTCCCTTCTTGCAAGGCTGGGCTCCGATGCCATCTTTTCAGAGGAGCCAGGCTAGCCCTGCGATGGGGATGCCTCATGGGTCCTCACCCCATTCTCTGTTTAATTTTGTCTCCTTGGCACTTATGACACTCTAGCATATACTTAATGGATTTATCTTATCCACTTCCTGCCTCTCTCACTGGAAAATATGCATCACTGGGGTTTTCTTCATCTGTTTTGCTTCCTGTGTCTTCCTAGAACTTAGAACAGTGTAGGACCAAAGCAGGTGTTCAGTAAATGTCTGTTAAGTAAATCTTCACACTGATTTATTTTGGGGACACAACGTGAGCTGAACGAGATGTCCCCCAAGACTTTGTTTTGAGGCAATAATTAATCTCCTTCTCATTCTAAAAGAGTTACTGGATTCCAACTAAGTTATTTTGTTACTTAATGTCTGCAGTCATGTTGACAATGTATTGTGATATTTATATTTATTACTCTGTGCTCTGTGAGCCTCGAAAATGATGGTGACTGGTCATTAGAATGGCAGCAAACCTGAAAATGATTTGAGCAAACTCCATTTGCAACCTGGGAAAAGAGTCCAAATGTTTTCACTGTGGATGCAAAAATCGCATCTTTTTTGTATGGCATAGGATCATGCTAAATATATTAGCTATTATTGAGCTATCATCTTCAACCATCCATTGATTTGCCATCTGGTTGATTAAAATGAGGCGAAGAGGAGAGCAGAGTGGGGCTCACAGAGCGGAGACTATCCCAGCTTAGCCAATCCATTATCTGCAGCCACTGCCACCCTTCAAAGTCTTAATGGCCTGTCATCCTCCCAAATATGACATTCCTTAAATGTACAATGACTATGTGCCTGTTAGCAGCATAGCTCATTATAACACTAAGGTAGAGATTTTTTTATTATGTGCACAAAAATATGAACATCAAAAACGCCAAACTAATTTGACTATTCCATTGGAAACTTTTTCTACTTACACCCAACTCACTCACTAATACTGATTGCTGGACCTCAAACATTATATATGTTAGCTCTCTACAGTATATAGGTTAGCTCTTTAGAGCAAACATCTCTTAGAAGGCTTTTTTTTTTTTAACCAAAATAATCTTACATAAACATATAAAAGGACAGTGTTTCTATTGGGTGTGAGGGATGCAGTCTCTCTTCCCCAAGGTGATGCGTGCAGGTGAAAAAGGTAGATATCTAGAAGCATGAAGCCCAGTGATGACTGATGCTGCCATGCCAGGGATCCCTGGGAACCCAGGCTGAGTAGGTAGGTTCAGCTGTCTAATCTGCCTTCCTGGCCTGGCCTTCAGATAATCTCCCTGAAATACAGATACTTCTTGGTAGAAAATAGCTGAAAAATAAATGTTACATCCACCTAGAACACAGAACATGGAGTGATAAAGCTACAAACAATGTTGAATTTTAAAAATTTTGTTCTAGGCCAGGTGCAGTGGCTCACGCCTGTAATCCCAGTACTTTGGGAGGCCAAGGCGGGTGGATCACGAGGTCAAGAGATCGAGACCATCCTGGTCAACATGGTGAAACCCCGTCTGTACTAAAGATACAAAAAATTAGCTGGGCATGGTGGCGCATGCCTGTAATCCCAGCTGTTCAGGAGGCTGAGGCAGGAGAATTGCCTGAACCCAGGAGGCGGAGGTTGCGGTGAGCCCAGATTGCGCCATTGCACTCCAGCCTGGGTAATAAGAGCGAAACGCTGTCTCAAAAAAAGAAAAAAAAAATTTGTTCTATTTTTTTAGGTAAGGAAATCAAGTCATAAAGTGGTAAAATTACCTGCTAAGATCTGAAAAACAGCCTATGGCCACAAGAGGCCTAGAGCATAGACTCGTGGTTCACATTCTCTCTGATTCTCACTGCACCAGGCTGCCAGCTCCTCTGATTTCCAGAGAAATCAGCAGTACAGACCAGGTGCAGCTGTTCAGTATCCTTCTCTCTGCCAATGGACATGATTGTTCTGGACCTCCTGGGCCACATCCAAATATGGTTGATCCTAAATTGACCAGTTAGGTAACAAGATCTTTGCTTGGCCCATTCACCTGCCAAACTTTTAAATTCTGAATTAATCCCATACAAATCCACCTATTTGAGGAGCTTGAAAATTCTCTTCCTCTTCAGTCACTTTGACCCTTTGAAGGAAAATCACCATACCTATCATCAGTGGTTGTGATTATGGGTTTTACTGTTGCTAATTCATGCCGGCAACTGGCAATGGGAAGAACATAATAATTCCTCCTCTTCTCAACAGGTGATCTTGCAACCACAGCAACTTCCCTGTTCATAAAGCATGCTTGCTAACGTCTTGCTCAGAGGCTAGTGAGAAGGAGTGGGAATGCACCCTAGACTGTCAGGAGAAGCGAAAAAGCAAATCCTTCTAATTGAACAAATGTTGAACATGTCAGTGTCACATGTTCAGCCCTCAGTTTCACAGCCCCTGGAAAAGTACGATTTACAGTTTGCAAGTAGATAGGGAGGGGGCCAGGCAAGGTGGTGCAGAGTACAGTTAAGAGGAGAAGTTGCCAGAGCCCTGCTCAGTGTACAGACTGGTGGAACAGGCCAGGTGTGGGGTGGGGGCTGGGGTTGCTGTGGTGAGCAAAAGTTGCGCCCTTCTAAAGGGACGCCGTGCCTACGTCCAGCACCATTATCACCTCAGTGGTGCTCAGTGTGGCCAGGGCATTTTCAAGAAAAATCAGAAAGCCAAATTTTATGTGAAATCTCCTCATTTTAAATGTCAGCAACTAATTCTTATATATATATTTTTTTTAGTTTCTGGGGTTTTAATTTAATTATATTATTTATTTTTTTACTGCATTTTAGGTTTGGGGGTACATGTGCAGAACATGCAAGATAGTTACATAGGTACACACATGGTAGTGTGTTTTGCTGCCTTCCTCCCCTGCACCCACATTTGGCATTTCTCCCCAGGCTATCCCTCCCCAACTAATTCATATTTTTAAAGTCTACCTTGGACAGTTTCTTTTATTAGGTGGATCAGTGATTACAAGCGACTCTGACTTCTTTGTTTTCCATATGTTTTATCAGATCTGTTCAACACAAGTGTATGTGTGTCTGGATGTGTTCCCTGTGACCCAAAAGGTCACACAAACAAAGAGCACGGACTGAAGGCGTCTCGTGCAATTTTTGTAATCTTCTCCTGGACGTGTGAGTAGGTACCCCTTATGAAGGAGACACTGTACAGGCCATCTGCATCTTTGCTTTCCCCTGAGCTCCAGATTTCTGCTACCAGTTGTCTACTTGACACTTTCTCTGGATGCCTAAAAATAATCCCAAATTCAACATGACCCAAACAGGTCTTTTCATTCCCATCAGCACTTCCTCCCAATCTACCTTCCAAAAAAAATCAAAAGTTCACACCCTGCCTCTATCTTCCTAATCTTGGCAGATGGCACCAACACTCATCAGATCACTCACACTAAATGTATGTTAGAGTTATCCTTCCACGGTGGCTCATGCCCGTAATTGCAGCACTTTGGGAGACTGAGGTGGGTGAATCACCTGAGGTCAGGAGTTTGACACTAGCCTGGCCAACATGGTGAAACCTTGTTTCTATTAAAAATATAAAAATTAGCTGGGCATGGTGGCGGGCATCTGTAATCCCAGCTCCTAGGAGGCTGAGGCAAGAGAATCGCTAGAACCCAGGAGGCAGAGGTTGCAGTGAGCTAAGACTACACCATTGCACTCCAACCTGGGTGACCAAGAACAAAACTCCATCTCAAAATAAAAGAGTTATCCTTCATATTATTGTTTTATCTCTGATTCACATTGTTTTAAAATACAGTATGGCCAAACAAAATGTCTGCCGGATGGAATCTGTGTGCCAATGACATTCTACTTCTGCCTTCGGTCTTCAAAGATACTGGTGATATGGGACATGGGAAGTTTTTAAATAACAAAAAAGTACTAATTTCATATGTATAGATGGAGGAGGAAGTCACTGCCAACTGTGTTGGTGATGGGAGAGGGAAGAGGTACTAGACCCACCCTCTTTCTCTCCCATGTAAATCATCCCAAACTGATAATGCTGAGTTCACCATCAAAGTCCTTGACATTTTTCTTACTTATTTCCTAGACTCTGATTCTCCTTTTTCACTTTTCATTTAATCATTGCAGTATGAAAGGCCGAAAATGCAAATGTCAGGGTGAGGTAACACATCAGGCAATTAATCCATATGTGTAAATACTTAATGTCAGAGTGTTCCGGTTTTTACAGAGCAAAAAGGTTGGGCAGCATAAGAAAACTGAACATTTGAAGAGGAGATCTGGGTGGAAAATAGAGTTTGGGGACATGGAAGCAACACACTTGTCACAGCTTTGCCTATCACAGGCCTGTGGACGTGTGAAGGGAGAGCTGTGAAGGATGCATTTCTGTCTTCCACAGTCATGAACATTCTCTTAGTTACTCAGTAACCACCACTCTTTATTCCTCCCCTCCACAGTTATCAGTGGGGCAACTACCGTGCTGGCTACTCCTAACACGAGGATGAACTATGAAGGCTGTGACGTCCAGGGCCAGAATAGACAGTGGTAAGAGGAGCTGATGGCTGCTCTGGTGGAGGGCACTGATGGAGACCCAGAGCCTTCAAAGAGTGTGGGGCACAGCACATTCCTTTTGTGCTTTTCTTTTAAGTTGGATGACTCTGTTAGAAAGAAGGCTTGACCTCATGAGTAGTAAATTTAGCTGAAGGCAAAACTAAAGCTACTCCCTTTTTATGTGCCCCTGTTCCCAGGCTAATGTTGGTTGTGTCCAGCCAACAAGACAACTACCTTTGGCATGTTTACAGATCCATCATTTTCATCTACATCTCCAGCTAGGCGTTACATGGATATTTTGGAATGTATAGGAAATTACATTCTCTTCTAAAAAGAAAAGACATTATCAATATTATCAATTTCAGACTGCCATTATTAAAAAAAGGAAATCAAGGCAAGTTGGAAATTGTTCTTTCAAACATGATATCTGGGGTGCTGGGTCTTGTTCTTACCTCATGAGCATTTCAGCTAAACTCTTTGCATCTGGGGAAAGAAAGTTAATATTAGTACATGGTAAATAACTCATTAACATTCACTTAGGCATTTATGACAAACACTCTACAGTCAGATGCCAACAGTCATATTTAAATGCAATCATACACCCAGATCACTATTAATGGCCTAGAGTTTTATGGCGTCCTATTTCTTCTAAGTGGGATTTTTAAAATATATTTTAATTGCAAAAAGATCATTATAACTATCCTATGATAATAACATTCTCAGACATCTAGTAAATGTTTAATTCCAACCTATATCGCTTCTAGGAAATCCAATTTTATTTTCAGTAGCCAGAAAATTAACATTTTGAGAGTATATCATTTATGTTGTACAAACCCATGATTTTGGTTATCAAAATATCAGAAGTAAGTGGCATTATTTTGGGGCTCTGAGTTTCTCGGGTTGATCAAAGAATTGTATAAATGAAATATCAATGCTTCTGGAAATGTAGGTGTTTATTTCAAATTCAGAAATTAAAAAAAAAACAAACCTTACTTTTTCTCTGAGGACATTGTTTACCAAGACCTGGTTACCATTCCTGACAGAAGGAATCCTGACTGAAAGTATAGAAAAATAAAATCCCTTTTTTTGGTAGTGTTATTTTGAAATTCACATTTCCCTTAAAATATAATTTATTCTTTTAACACATTTTGTCCTGGCAAAAATGAATGTTTCCTCACTTAGAGCACAAAAACCTGCTTTTTGTTTTTATTTCACTGCTCTCTAAAAAGTCTTGATGCTAAGTATACTGTTCAATGAACAGAACTTTCCGGAAATGGACTCAGCTGACGGTGCAACCAGCTCGGCGGTGAAAGAATATGTATGTGGGAACATTGCCATCTCATGCCTTTGGGGGCTGACATTTAAATATAGGCAGTTTCGGCATGGGGGGGCAGCATGCTATTTCTGAAAGACGTGGACAATCACAGAATGATCACGTAGAGGCTGTCCCCGCCATGAGCCAAGCTTAGTTCCTTAAGTTGGCCAGTCCCAATGGTAACCCCAAGATGGGGCACGATTTTGTGCACAGATGGGTTCAGTCTAGAAAACGAAACACGGCCCATCTACTCCACCCACACAGCTGAGAAAAGAAAGCAAAATAGCACTGGATTTCCCAGTTCATGCCTTTATATTTATCTCCAAAGACACAGTAAAAATAATGAATATCCTCTTTCCCTGAATGATTTAACACTTACAAAGTATATCTACCTATCTATCTCTATATGTATGTGCTTATATATACTTCATGTGTGTGTGCATACACACACACACATATATATATATACACACACACACACACATATGTATGATGCCAGAAGCTTGGAATTAATCAGCTCCATGTAACTACCAAGCAGTGGCTGGTACAATACTCTAAAAAGGGGGAAACAAATTCAAGGAGTAAACATCCCATTTCAGTTCACACTTGGAAGAGTTCTCAGACGCAATTGTCTTCAGAATCAACTGCTTTCCGCACTCTGCCCACCACAATAATTTCTCATTTTCTATTCCTGGTCCGTCATCACAGCTCTCTCCTATGAGCTGTTCATGGCAATGTACTAAGGAATTGCAGAGTTCAGCAGGGAGAACAGAGCTGCCTGCAATGACTGCCATGCAGAAGCAGACTTCCCTCGGCTGCCACGTGCAGGCATCCTCTGGGAGTTCTAAGCTCTTTCACAGGTCTAGATGCCCAAAGCTATTTGGGTCAACCCTTCCCTAAACCTAACACTGACCCACCGTAAAGGGGCAGCACGGATGGTGGTTCTCTGTGCTGATGAGGGCTATTGCAGAGAGGTCCCTTTGAAGGTTTCAAAGCACAGGTGTGACACAGTAAGATGGACTCCAGGTCTTCACCCTTCCTGCGGTGTGGGTTTCAGTGTTGGGCACGCCAGCAATAAAGATGCTGATGTCAGATGTGGGGCACTTTGACATGAATGGGCAGTGTGCTCCATGCAGAGAATTTACATGCATTGGAATTATGAGCCATTCAGGAAGTAATGAGTAGGCCAGTTTGATAGGACAGAGACTCTGCCAGGGTGGTGGCCTGGTACATGGGGGCTAGCCTAGACACTAAGGAGCTGAGGAGATGTGACTTAGTATTACTGACCTGAAAGTTTCTATTTGGTTTAAGGGGAGAGAGGAAAAAGGGGATGAATGGTAGATGAGTGTGGTTGCTGTGAACTAGCATCCGCCAGGCAATCCAGAATGCTCTGAATGGGGAGGCGGGGGCCTGGGACTTGTTGAAAGCTTCTTAGTCTTTAGTTCAAGTGAGAGGCGTTGAGCATTGGAGAAGAGAGCAGGGGTTGAGTGTGTAACATAACTTCAAGACAGAGGAAACCAGTAAGAATCAGAGTCCTACCATGTGTACAGGAGGGTGAGGAGGAGTTGCAGGGAGTCCAGGAAAAGGGCAAGATTTGGGATATGCAGAGCTGGATATAGTAACGTGAGTGACAGGAATGGTCTGCAGCAACATGAAAGCAACAATCTGGGGAGAGACTTGTCTAGTTTCAAAGTTGGTGGACACTAGGTGAGGCTGTCCAGAGGCAAATTTGGAATCAAGTTTGGGAAAGATGCCGGGGCTGAGATGACGGTCTGGGTGTTTTTCATACTCCCATAGCAGGAGTGCAAAAAGAAGATGAAAAAATCTCATCTGGGACCCACTTTTGTTGAGGGGTGAGAAGAGAGTCTGAGACAAGCCAAGAAAACATTTAAAGTCCCAGAATCACAGAATCTTAAGAGCAATAAAGGCTTTTCAGATCGGCCTCCTAATGAAGGTTGGAATCCCTTCCACAATGTCCTATACACACGTGCACACTCTCTGTCTGCATGGACCCAGAGCTGGGGCCACTACCACTCCAGAGCTGGGGCCACTACCACTCCAGAGCTAGGGCCACTACCACTCCAGAACTAGGGCCACTACCACTCCAGAACTAGGGCCACTACCACTCCAGAACTAGGGCCACTACCACTCCAGAACTAGGGCCACTACCACTCCAGAGCTGGGGCCACTACCACTCCAGAGCTGGGGCCACTACCACTCCAGAACTAGGGTCACTACCACTCCAGAACTAGGGCTACTACCACTCCAGAGCTGGGGATACTACCACTCCAGAACTAGGGCCACTACCACTCCAGAACTAGGGCCACTACCACTCCAGAACTAGGGCCACTACCACTCCAGAGCTGGGGCCACTACCACTCCAGAACTAGGGCTACTACCACTCCAGAACTAGGGCCACTACCACTCCAGAACTGGGGCCACTACCACTCCAGAACCGGGGCCACTACCACTCCAGAACTAGGGCCACTACCACTCCAGAACTAGGGCCACTACCACTCCAGAACTAGGGCCACTACCACTCCAGAACTAGGGCCACTACCACTCCAGAACTAGGGCCACTACCACTCCAGAACTAGGGCCACTACCACTCCAGAGCTAGGGCTACTACCACTCCAGAGCTGGGGCCACTACCACTCCAGAACTAGGGCCACTACCACTCCAGAGCTGGGGATACTACCACTCCAGAGCTGGGGCCACTACCACTCCAGAACTAGGGCCACTACCACTCCAGAGCTAGGGCTACTACCACTCCAGAGCTGGGGATACTACCACTCCAGAACTAGGGCCACTACCACTCCAGAGCTGGGGCCACTACCACTCCAGAACTAGGGCCACTACCACTCCAGAGCTGGGGCCACTACCACTCCAGAACTAGGGCCACTACCACTCCAGAACTAGGGCCACTACCACTCCAGAACTAGGGCCACTACCACTCCAGAACTAGGGCCACTACCACTCCAGAACTGGGGCCACTACCACTCCAGAACTAGGGCTACTACCACTCCAGAGCTGGGGATACTACCACTCCAGAACTAGGGCCACTACCACTCCAGAACTAGGGCCACTACCACTCCAGAACTAGGGCCACTACCACTCCAGAACTAGGGCCACTACCACTCCAGAGCTGGGGCCACTACCACTCCAGAACTAGGGCCACTACCACTCCAGAACTAGGGCCACTACCACTCCAGAACTGGGGCCACTACCACTCCAGAACCGGGGCCACTACCACTCCAGAGCTGGGGCCACTACCACTCCAGAGCTGGGGATACTACCACTCCAGAACTAGGGCCACTACCACTCCAGAACTAGGGCCACTACCACTCCAGAACCGGGGCCACTACCACTCCAGAACTAGGGCCACTACCACTCCAGAACTAGGGCCACTACCACTCCAGAACTAGGGCCACTACCACTCCAGAGCTGGGGCCACTACCACTCCAGAACTAGGGCTACTACCACTCCAGAACTAGGGTCACTACCACTCCAGAACTGGGGCCACTACCACTCCAGAACTAGGGTCACTACCACTCCAGAACCGGGGCTACTACCACTCCAGAACTAGGGCCACTACCACTCCAGAACTAGGGCTACTACCACTCCAGAACTAGGGTCACTACCACTCCAGAGCTGGGGCCACTACCACTCCAGAACTAGGGTCACTACCACTCCAGAACTAGGGCCGCTACCACTCCAGAACTAGGGCCACTACCACTCCAGAACTAGGGTCACTACCACTCCAGAACTAGGGTCACTACCACTCCAGAACCGGGGCCACTACCACACCAGAACTAGGGCTACTACCACTCCAGAACTAGGGCCACTACCACTCCAGAACTAGGGCTACTACCACTCCAGAGCTGGGGCCACTACCACTCCAGAACTAGGGTCACTACCACTCCAGAACTAGGGCCGCTACCACTCCAGAACTAGGGCCACTACCACTCCAGAACTAGGGTCACTACCACTCCAGAACTAGGGTCACTACCACTCCAGAACCGGGGCCACTACCACTCCAGAACTAGGGCTACTACCACTCCAGAACTAGGGCCACTACCACTCCAGAACTAGGGCTACTACCACTCCAGAACTAGGGTCACTACCACTCCAGAACTAGGGCCACTACCACTCCAGAACCGGGGCCACT